ACGCAAACATAAATCAAATGAGCAATGTGAGTGAGTTTTACGTGGCATGTCGTAATGGAGATTTGACCAAGTTCAACCAAATTGTGTCCACATTGAGCACCGACGAGCTCAATCGACTCGAACCTAAGGGCAGTATACACTAGTTGATGCACAGATTGACGTCTGTTTGTGCTAAGCTTTAAGTGTTACTTGAAAAGGAAAATACTCCTCATAGACATAGCATCTCACACAAGTACACTATAAAAATAAAGTTCTGTTTAAGTCAAAAATAAAAAGTGCTGTAAATTTGAATTATCGGTGCCTTAAATGACAAACATAAAGTGAACGCCAAGTCGATCCCTAGTGATCGTCTACAGTGAACTGTGTAGGCGTGTAAAGTGTACATTGAGAAGTGACAGTCTGACTTTACACACTAGAGCCGTAGCAAATAAGTAATGTTTAACATTACTTATTTGCTACGGCTCTACTGAGGCAATGATATAGTCTACTTGTCTAAATAATCTGTGCTGGAAATGGCTCAGATTCATCGCTCTATTGTTCAAATCTACCATATAACGATGTTTTTTTTCCACTTCTTTTGTTATCCGTTTCTGCTGAAAATAACAACATATATACCTTCGAAGATGGTGATCATGGTTCTGGAATATTTTTTCATATGATGCAGTAGTTCGAGGGAAAATGGTAAATAAGAAATCTTTTTAATACATCTAGCTCTTTACACACTGAAATTGACCATCTATAGAAGGCAGACAGTTTTCGATGTCGATTGAACGTTTAGAACATTCACACACTTAGGCCACGTTCACACTACAAATTTTTCAGAGTTATAATTCAGAGTTAACGTCGAGAGCGTTCACATCTAAATCTTTAATACACCAATAAGATTTTGACATTTTCCCGAAAAGTGTGCCGCTGCCTGACTTCAGTATTCCCAAAGCGTGCGAATGGCTAACGAGGGAAGGTCCCCAAGTGTGAATCACCGTTTTGAATGGGAGATATTCCAGTTTGTAGAGCTCGACGAGCTGATTCTAGTGGTATAAAGCATTTCTTCCAATGTTTCTTGAAGACTCAGTTTTCTAGAAAACCAGTTTTTGAGAAACTTTAAAAAATAACCAAAACATTTTTAAATAAGATATAATTGTAGCGCGCACATTTCTGATTATAATGAGACATTCCCCAGCTCTACATGACGTTTATTTACAAAGTTATAGAATTTACAAGAAAAGCCCTAAATGTTCATTGTCGGCTCAAAGCTACAGAAATAAGAAGAAATTAATTCAGGACTTTTCTTGTAAATTCTATAACTTTGCAAATAAAAAAAATAAAAATAAATACTTTATTTTTATAGTGTACTTGTGTGAGATGCTATGTCTATGAGGAGTATTTTCCTTTTCAAGTAACACTTAAAGCTTAACACAAACAGACGTCAATCTGTACATCAGCTAGTGTATATTGTTTATCGACAACGCCGCAATTATCGGGAAGGTGCGCATCCTCCGAATAATTGAAAAAGATGTTGTTATTTTATTGATTACTCATTGCACAACTTGTTTTAATCAGCTTTACACTTCTTCAGACCGAAAACGTTTTTTACACCCCCTAATAGCTGACTCCTATTTGCGATCCTGTTTATCAAATTATACTAGTTTTATCCATCGTAGATGGAGGCTAATACGTTTGTCACATTTCTGTCTGGTCGTCACATATGCTGGACAGATAGTGTTTTGTGTAGAAAATAAACGAAAGAATGAAGGTAAACGTATAAATGACACGGCACTGTTATATATAGAATAATCTCTCTCTTATTTTCTTTCGGTCTTATCTTCTTGCTATATGTTGTTTTACGCACGCTTTCTTCGACTAGAACATAAACAATATGATAAATTTTTTCGAGGCATTTGACTTTGTCTAATTCCGTCAAATGCCTCGAAAAAATAAAATAAAATAAAATTTCTTCAATATATTTTGAAACGAAATTCATAGAAAAAAGCATAGAAATCTGACAGAAAGATGTGGACAGGTTGAAAATGATTAGCTTTGGCATTTGCCAAAACTTCGCCAAATTTGTCAAATATTTCGGAGTTGGAAGGTGTTCACTAAATAGAGGTCCAATTATAGGAAAAATCGACCGAGAAGACTTAGACTCGCGTTCAAATTAGAGGTGCTCAATTAGGGAGGTTTTACTGTAACATTTGAGAGCAAACATTTTTTCTTTGGAATAAGAGATGTTCCAGCGCCCGAGAGTACTTTCGAAATACTTATTGTCATTTTACTAAGAGTGTAAAAGCATGTATTTCTGAATGAAATATCGCTGTTTGAACACTGAAACATCGCCTCAATCACATCTAGGTACATTACGATAGCTCCAGGCGATCTGAAATTTTTACCAAACACTTTTGAAAGTTTCACAATTTTGGCATATTTGACAAGTATCATCAGTCAAGACTTCAAAAAATACTTGGACTAGTCAAAATTTTAAAAATTTAAAAATTTAGTTTGTTGGAAAATTTGGTAAATTTTGACAAAAGTCTGACATTTGTAAATTTGCAATTTTTTAGTAAATATTTGGCAGATTTGGCAAATAATTTGGCAATTTATTAGAAATTAGAAACTAGGATAACTATGTACATAATACTAGATGAGCTCAACAACATGAACTCTTTTTCTCGGCTTTCTTTTTTCCTTTCGTTTTCTCACTTAATATAATATTCTTCGTGTCTAAGAGGATTGACGGTTCGTTCTTGTTACTAGTGCGTTTCGAAACGACAATATTTTCTTTTAATTGATTAAATAAAATAGTATTATTCAATATACATAATATTAATTGATTAAACATTGTTTGAACATTTTCTCCTGTAAGTGCCGACGTATAAAATAATGATAAATCATTTTTTGTTGAAAATCGTTCGGCATCTTTAAATATTTGATCTTCAGAATCTTGAGCTAAATCAATTTTGTTACATAAGATTACACTTTCGAACTTATTAAAACCACGATCTTTTAATGTAGGAAACCATGCGTTTGCAAGACTTTTCAATGTTTCTGGTTTAGTTACATCACACATGAGTATTGCACCATGGCATCGATAATGATTTTGCCACATATCTGCATGTCTAAAATCACCAGGTATATCAAATACATTGATCAATACTGCGTAACGCTCTTCAAATAAACGATCTAAATGTAATGTTATCAAATCGGGACCGACTGTAGTAGCATAAATTTCTTTTGAAATCCGCTCTTGAAATTGTAAATGTTTAACAGTTGTTGTCTTTCCAACATTACGATCGCCAAAGACGCATATTTTAATATGTAATTGTGGATATCTCTCATCGTCACGCAGCTGTTGTGGTAAACCACCAGATTTCACCACTAATGTATTTGAAATTTTTTCACAGTATTGAGCTTTTACCTGTTTTTCACGAAATTCTTCAATAGCGTTCTTTAAAGTAATATTTACAATGAAGTCTTTACTTTTTAACACCTTATTTGTCACTGGGGATGTATTATTATTTTGTAGCCACTGTTGCAGTTCACGTTTTTCATAACTACGGCCATCTTCAATTAATATAACAGGTAAATCCATTAACTGAAGTGTTATTGGACAGAGATAATCCTTTGGTGTGTTCATTCTACTATCAAGTTGCTTTTTGTCTTAATGAAATTAGAAAAGAAAAGAAAATTTCCTGTTTGCTCGTTTTTTTATATACTTTGTAGATGAAAATTTACAAGTAAATAGTTGCACAAGTTTTTTTGTTCTTTCTATATATATCATCATCTTAAAGCGAAAAAATTCTTATGCTCTGACGTATTATGAAGAGCGACTTTCCGTCACCTGTTACTCATTATATGTTGTTCTTTGTCGCCGGTATTTCACCAGAAAACATACTAAAAATAGCTCATTCACGCCTTGTCAGGTTTTTTTCTCATAAAAATGCAAGGCATCACCACTACTGTGTGGACCAAGTGCATAAATACCTGAGACTGAGCTCGTCGATCGTCTCGACAGTGCTAATTCGCAGGCGGTATTCAAATATCAGCTTAATTTCTCAGTCTTTTCCAGCTACCGTCGTACGAAAAGAAGGGCAAAGTTTCCAGTCAAAGGTGGGATAACTGGCGAGTCGTTGATCATGATTCAATAGAATATAGACTGCGAAATCTTTCTTACTCATTGTAAATAATCCTATAATGCTGTCAGAACTGTCCCGTTGATTGTCTGTCCAGACCAGGGTTGTCAGCTGAAAAAAAAGTAAAGGGGGACAAATTTTGGAAAAAGGGGGACTGTTTTTTGTACAAAGCACAACAACACAAAACACATTATTTGTCGTGCGATATCATTGACAAAATTAAATGCACGTGAGTATAGTCTTTTATTCTGGTCTTTCTAATGTTACTATGTCAAAACACAAAATTTAATATAACTATCTTTTGTCACACAAAAAGCACTAAACGTTCAATTTACACGTTATTTTTTACTAATGTGTTCATATTTTCATTCTACGAATGCTCTTACTAGGAACGTCTTTTTTATTCAAAATCATAGATCATAATCATGAAAATTATTGCACGTTAAATTTTCGTGATTAACGTTCTTATTGTTTATGAAGTTAATGATTTAGTTGAAAGGTCTTTGTAAGATCTTTCAACTAAATTCTAATTTTCAATTCTGCTTTTAGTGCTATTTCTTATGTGAAATCTCATATAAGAAAAATTACTAAACGCTAAAAATCTGTTAAACTGGAAGCATAATACAGTAGTGAAAAGTCCATCGAAGATGGTCAAAAGAAAATATCCTTGTAAAGGGGACATCCTGGGGGACAGATTTTCGCGGCGGACAAATCTCTAAATGTGGGATTATCCGGAAGAATTGTTATATATCGGATATCAAGATTAGCTGCGATCTGCAGAACGTCTCATTTTGTAGAAAAATGTTTGTTCTACAGAATACACTTGTTAAAGAAATTTCAAAATTATTTCTAACAAAACTTAGAGCATGTTAAAATGCTTTAAGTCAATGTAAACTGTTTTATCGTAACTACTTTTCTGTGCTTGTCTATTTGTGTTTTCTTTAACAGTAGTAAAACAATTGAACAAGGCTTAGCAGTTGTCACTGATGCACAGCTACTCCAATTGAGCATGAAATCAGATAACTCTACACTTGGAAGCAGTAAAACTGTACTTTTATCGGAAAAAAAGGTCGAATTCTATACAGTAAGATCGAATTAATTTTGCAAAATCTGGTTGAATTGCTGAACCGTTAGCTAAGGACGGTGCACTAAAGTGTACCGTTTTACATTAATAGCGTTTCAAACATATGTTGTAGGTAAAATTAGAATCCAGTCAAATTCTGTCGTCAACACATAGTTTACTTTTTTCCGACCATGTTTGAATGGAATCACTTGCTAGTCACTGTGACTCACAAAGGGGTACAAAATGGTTAACATTGAGAAAATCCGTTTGTTTAATCATTTATCCTTCTTGTTGTTTATATCCTTCTTATCTTTCTCTTATCCTATATGTAAGTTTATATCTTTTGTTCGTCCTTCACATATATGACATGGCGTCATGTTTTTCTATATGTGTATTTCGTCATATAGTTTTTCCTTTTCTTCTTTCGTATAATACACATAATTATTGTATGCGATCTTTTTTGTGTGAGTTACATCATAACTATGCGTGAGTGTTTCAGAAGATTCTGATGTAACTAATTTCAGAGTATATATAGCTCTGAGTTTTCTGTGCGAGAGTGTGTGTAATTTGTCTTTTGATATAGAATAAAAATAAATACAAGTATAACAGTTAAACTCTCCTCATTTTTCCTCGTTTTTGAAAAAACGCGATTAAAGGCGTTTTTATCTCATATAGGAAAAAAACGCCTTCAAACGGCTTCTTAAAAAATAGCGTTTACCAGCATTTATTTTCTATATGGGATAAAAACGCCTTTAATCGTGCTTTTACAAAAATGAGGAAAAAAAGCGTACGAAAAAGAGAGATATAAGAGTACGAAAAAGCGGAATATCTGCAGATTTGCGTGATGTCGTGTGCCAATTATTTATTACATTTTAGTTAGAATTGTTTTCCAAGTTTGTCTCCTCCTAGAGTTGTTATAGACTAAGGAAAGTAGCGAGCAGGGTGATACTTAAAATCAGTGCCACGAGTGGTGCTTAAGATCAGTAGCACGGGTTACCGAGCCTTCCAATTCACCAGAATAAGGTGGTGAACCAAAATAATACAAGATAAATTTCATTTCATGTAGTTATAATAATTTTAAATTCAGAATTATTTAAACAGAAAGAACGCTATATCTCATTTTCTAGTTTCGACGTTTAAAAAAAACGTTTCGGAACACGAAATTAAACATAGCATTTCGTCGCGTTAAAGAACGGCGAGGAAAACTGCGTTTCGTTTAAAAATGCGTTGAAATCCAAAAATAAAACTGGTATTTTAGTCCCTTTTTTCACATACAATGGTGGTTTTCTAGATTGCACACGTCTAAAAAGAAAACGTTTTGGAGCGCGAAATTAAACATGACGCTCCATCGTGTTTGTGAAGAAGAGGGACTAAAACACCAGGTTTTATTTTTGGATTTCAGAGCATTTTTAAAAGAAACTCAGTTTTCCTCGGTTTCCTTCACGAGCGCGACGAAACACCATGTTTAATTCGCAGATTATGATTATACTTATTATTATTAATGAAATATATTTATGAAAAAATTGAAAAACTATTCTTACGTTTGGTTTTTGTACAATTTCTGTGATATATGTCAGAAATAATGTCAGTCACAACTGAAGCGTTCAGGCCAACGTTCATTACTTACTGGAGACCTACAGCTGTGCTTGTTACAATACGTTCACGTTTTGGGTAATCCTGTCGCGTGTAGATACTTTTTGTTCGATAAAGTTGAACAGGATTTTTGATGAAGCGTTCTGTCCAAAACATAACATATACAGCAAAGAGAGGAAAATCAATACTGCAGGTATTTGTGACGGAATATGTTCGACCTAAAATGGATCAGTTGTATATTACACATGAAACGCCAGTGTTCCTCGACTTCCTCTGCTACATGGATAGAATACATTTTTGGAGTTTGAGTTTTACATGATTCTTCTTTCATTAAGAAAAGTAATACCTTTTGAGAGCGTGTTTATGATTTAAATGCAAAATGTTCAGTGTTCTAACGATACTGTGTAGATGAGTTACGAATGTTTTTAGTCTGCTTTTTGTAAGAGAATTAGAGTCTTGGTGCTTTGTTAGTATCGCATACAGTCACCATAGATCTGATATATTCCATGACCCTCCTGAAGGAGATGAACAAAAATTAGACAAACTCTGTATAACAACTATGGAGAGAAGCAAAAACTAAGGTTTTCACGATGTCGTACTTAATAAATTGCCGATAAAAACTTATACCAGAGTAAAAAATTTCTATTAAATTCTCAATAAACATTTGGCTCAGTAGGCACTTGAATATTTTAATCCCATCTTGAAATCAACTAATTACACACTTCTTAATTCAATTATCGATTTAATTGCATTATTAACTAACTGTTCAGAACTTGAATGTTTTAATTTTAATGGTAAAACATATCGCGGGATGTTAATGACAAAGTAAGATTTGTATAAATATAGTATTGGTACACGGCTTGGCCAGATGTTACGGAATTTTATTTTTTCGTCTTCTGTGCCGCTTATCTCGGCAAAGAAGCAAAGTTCATCAATGAAATTTATACCAATGATGGATATTACGGAGTTCTACTATCAAAACTAATTTGAGCTTGATTGAACAAGCGGATCAAAAGTTATAGTCAAACTAGAGGTCGTTACGGAATTTCAAAAAAATGAAAGTGTTTTTAGCTGTATTTCGGTAAAAAGCAAATTATTCAGCCTTAAATTAACTTTAAAATGATTGCTTAATTACCAAATTAAAGCTTACAGTTTGGGCTATCAGAATCACTAGTGACTTTTTCTTGAATTAGTTCCCTGGGGAAGGAGATCGAATAAAAATGATCGGTACGGAATTTCATTCCGTTACAAAATTTCACCGTTTTTTGCTCTTCTTTGCACATGGTTTGGTATATATTTTTTCTGTCACAGATACCTGCAGTATTGATTTTCCTCTCTTTGCTGTATATGTTATGTTTTGGACAGAACGCTTCATCAAAAATCCTGTTCAACTTTATCGAACAAAAAGTATCTACACGCGAC